GCGCCTCGGGCCCCGCTGCGTGGAGCGGGAGGAGCGCGGGGCTGCCCCTGCGCGGTCGTGTGGCTCTGTGGGTGGCATGTCGCCGCTTCCTGCTGGCCGCCCTTCTAGTGTGTCGCTTTATCCTGCGGCCTGCCTCCTAGTTCTTCAGCTTTTTAGTAGGCCGTGTTTACGCTTTGCCTTTCCCGAGAGCATCAGGGTGTTTGGACTCTGTGAGGCGAAATCCTCAAATCTTCAGGATAACGTCTTGATTGTGACGCTGCACAGTATGAGTTTAATAAAATGAAAAGTAAAGGAAAGCTGCGTAATATCGTTACGGTACTCAGGATGCAGGGATGTTGTCTCTGTCTGATTCCCTAGAATTAAAATAGCTTGTAAAACTCTAGTTTAAAAAAAATAGGTGGTTTTTTTTTGCTATTTGATAAAGGAGGCATGAACAGGGAAGTTCCAGCTTTGAGGCCCACAGTGCTAAACAGAACAGGGCCTACCTTCAGACGGTAGGTTTCCGTTCTTGTATTAAAGCATATGTAACATATCATTACAAGTTACCAGCATACACTAACATATGTTCACTTGATTCTTGCCAGTAGTCTTTTTTCTTCTTTTTTTCATATTGGAATCCGTGAAAGTTTCAATCAGTTTTGCAAACATAGCCCTTGCATGTAACCTGTCCACATGAATTCTTGTGCGGGGCTAGAGGCAAGCGCTTAAAAATGTTGCTTGCAACACAGGAGAGTCCCTTTAATTTTTCTCTATGAATAAGAAGAAGAAAAAAAATGGAAGAAGAAAAAAATCAAAGAAGAAAAAAAAAACCCCAAACCTCAAGGAAATCAAACATTACTTTATGCTGCTGGACAGATGCAAACATATGTCATGAGACTCACCATGGCAGAGGTGTCCTCTTTCCTAGGGTAGGAATAGGTGTCAGTGTTCAGAACCGCTGTTAGCTAGTGTTTGGTTCAGAATTTACTGGTGTAATCGTTCAGTCAGTGACATCCTTAATTTTTAGAAGAGTCCAAAAGTTCTTGGAGGTCAGGTGAAAATGCTATATACACCAAAGATGCAATCTTTTTCCTTATAGAGAGAGCTTTTCAAGGAAATAATGTGTACTCCTTGAGAAAGTCACTTTTCCTTTTAACCTCTTTGTAAAGCTTTCTTGCCCAAACCAAAAATGAAATGGCAATGTAAATTGGGCTGGGATGATCTCAAACAGTGGTTCAAGGGAAAATAGATAGGGAACCTTGATAGCCAGTACTGGTAGTAGAGAGTGCCAGCAAACACGCTTGGCAGATGCACAACATTTGTTCTGGAGCGGGTTACAGTTCACGCTGGTTCTCACTGTGTGCTGCTAAACAGAATTCCAGAGTGAGTTCAATAATACCATTAGGATTTGAGGAAAAAGCAGCAGAAGTATGTTTCTGGATGTAATAAATTAGTCTGCAGAAACTTCATCTTCAGCCAAGGCGTTATACTCCAGTCCTGCGGTGTAGGAGTTTATCTGCATAGGTGCAAGCCCCCGTATAGAAAGTGTTTACGTGGCTGTAGTAAACACGACTGTGTGATTGTGGATTGCAGGAACAAAGGATTAATCATACGCAAGTTAGTTGACAAGTTTCGAGGTTTTGACAAGTTAGTTGCAAGTTTCTTTGACAGAAGTTCTCTAAGGATTACAGAAGAAATAATAAAAACTGTAACAATTGCTGATGTTACTGGAAGATGGAAATAAGATATGTTTCTGATGTTGAGCATTGTTTGTCTATATTCTGTTTCATACAGTTTAATTTCATTTTTGATACAGGTTCTTGCCAAGCGTGTGTTTGATATTCTGTATTTTGCTTGTACATAGGAAGTGAATATCGAATTTGAAGCACATTCGATATCAGACAATGATTACAATGGGATAAAGAAATTACTTCAACAGGTACTTTGACTTTTTGTGAACTTGATTGATATTGCTGTTAATAAATACCATTTAGAGAGTTATGCAAAGTCATCGGTTCGCGTTATCTGTGTTACTGATTTATAGTTTTATAGTGCTTCACCTCGTGAAGCATATTTACAGCCACTATGAGTATTTAAATAAACATGTTTCCTAAACCATGGTTCCAGAAACTGTAACCCTGAGCGGTAGAGTTTTTTTTCCACAGTGTGTATCGTTTTCCATCTCCGTTGTGTTAGTGTCTGCCTAGAAAACCTAGTTCAACGTTAATCAGCTTCTTAGTTTTTTTAATAGGTTACATCTCTAAAAAACAGACAAATAGCATGTTCATTCAGTTTTCTCTTGACTATTTTTGTTCTAGTGAATTTATTCTCAGCAAGCATTCAGATCATCCCAAACTTGAAAGGGTAAGAGATATGCAGGATGTCAGCTTGTGGAGTGTCAAGTAGCAAGCAATTCAGCTGCTTTTTAAACTATTTACAATATTACATTGGAGGATGTCAAATAAATACAAATACTAAATTGAAATTAAAAATGGTGCAGAACATAGCATAACAACTTAGAGAAAGTAGTGAATTTTAGTTCTGCTAAGTGGTCCACAATATGAAGAGGGTTTGGACCTGATACTGTTCTGTAATACTTGTTTTTTATTTTCCAGTTGTTTTTAAAAGCTCCTGTTAACACTGCTGAGTTAACTGATACGTTAATACAACAGAATCATATTGGCAGCACTATCAAGGTAAGAAAGCTAAGTCCCTTTTGAAAACTACATAGGATATTCTTTATGTTGAAATAATAGACTTGCCGCAGAAGTAGATCTTTGCTGGGTTTTGTTGAGCTTTTGCTTTCCCTTTGCATCAAAACTCTATTGGTCTATGGCTTTTAAGACTTCTCAGGTTTACTTCCCTGCGTTAGAAGTTGAAGATAATTGATTTTGCTTAAGGTATGGCCATCCGTTGTACTAAGATGCTCCTTTCTAAATGTGAGCTATCAAATTGTAGTGCCTTACAGTAGATCCTGATGTAAAAGATAATGACATGGCTCTCTGTAAAAGTGACTCTAAATACACCGAGACATTCAATGATGTGGCACTTTCATAACCTTAACCGGAATTCATAGGTTGTATATTTGTACAGATTACCTAGAGGGTTGTCCTATTCTGGCGAGAAAAACTGTTTTGGCTGGAAGGAGAGGAAGTAGAATATCATTATGAGTTGTTGCTTTTTCTCTTATTAAATAGCAAGCAGAAGTGCAAGAAGACAGTGATGATGATAACGATGATGATGATGGAGATGAAGTCTTTGGTTTTATAAGCCTCTTAAACTTAACTGAAAGGAAGGTTGGTATTCCTCATTAAATTCTCAACAGTAATAAGTGAGACTGTGCTCTGCTCTTCTGTCTTGTATAACCAGTCTTAACATCAGGATCATAAATCTGAATTCAACTGTAGAGGGCTGTGGTCTTAAAAGTTTCACATCACTTATGCTTTCTTTTGGATCTGGTAACTAGTAAGTGTAACTTACTGAAGGGCAAACATAAAGCTAACAGTGGAACAGAGAGTTAAAACTAGGTCTAACGAGTAGTTCCAGAATAACTGATGAGCCTAGCTTCTTGTGTTTCTTTCATCTGTCACAGCTTTTGAATTTTGCTGTTAAGTGCAGTGGAGCTGTAGTTCATAGCTGCATTCCTGTCAGTTAAGAACCTTTGTTTGCCCTCAGCTTCAGGGTTGGTTAATAATAATTTGAGAGAAATTGTGCAGTGCTTTAGAGACCACTTAAAGAAATTAGCTGTAGGCTGGTGGAATATTCCCTTGAAGTTCACTTCTGAAGGTTTTCTTATGTAAATAATTGTTCTGTAAAGTAAAGAAAATATACCCTTTAATTGCAGGGTATGCAATGCACTGAACAAATCAAAGAGCTGATTCTAAGTCGGTGTGAGAAGAACTGTGAACAGCACGTAGTTGAACAACTGGATAAGATCCTAAATGACAATACTAAGCCCGTGGGTCTCCTCCTAAGTGAAAGATTCATTAACGTACCACCACAGATTGCTTTGCCCATGCACCAGCAGCTTCAGTAAGTAATTTTTTCCTCATGTTTCTTCAGAAATTTTATTTAAGTAAAAGTGCATGAAGAGCGTGATACTACAGATTTAAGATATGAAAAAAATTATTTTCATCTTACGTAAGGTCTTTGGTTAATTTTAAAGTATTTTAAAAATTGTTAGGCTTTTCAAATTCTTTATACTTTGACAGAAGAAATAACGTAAAATTTTATGTACTGTGTTACGAAAGGAACACCTATGTTTATTTTAGTTTATTGTAATATTGATGTAGGAAAATTTTAAATGATAACTTTTCATAGCATGCTGATAGTGAGCAACTTGAATATTTCTGCTTGTGTGTTAATGCCTGTTTCTGGAATGAACAATTTGGCTTGAGGGGTAAACTTCTAAGGTGGATGGGCTCTGGCCTCTGGAAACTATTTGCAGTATTTTTAATTAACTGGAGTTTCAGGTAAATGAGTGAAGCAGGCTAGATGCTGCTTGATCTGGAAATCTATATTGATTCATGGATTTATATCCTAGACTGGGTGACAGTAAATGAATGACTCTGCTGGGATGCAGTGCTATATGGTTTCACTGTCATGTTGAAAGCCGGGACATTGTATTGCATAAGCCAAAGAAAGAATCCTTTTTGGAGAGATATGGGATATGCGGTGGGAATAGAAGTCAGGGGTCATTGAATGCTGTCGCCTAACTCATCTGCTCATTTAAGTAGTAACATAGTTCTTTAAGGAGTTAGAACTGTGATATCAAAGAAAATATATAGATGGTTGGTCGATAAGGTTTGTTTTGCGGGGGTTTTTGGTGAAGAAAGAAATAAGATGATAAATAAGATTTACCACGAGTACAGCACGTGTCACAACTCAAAATCAGGTCTCAGCCTCGTTGCCTTAAAGGTTTTGGAGCGTTGCAGCGATAATATGTTTAACCCAAGGACGGGTTAAGTGTGTCTTCTGACTTTCAGAGATAGCTCCTCATAGAAGTGCTCGTGTGGTGTTTTTCCAGGAAAGTTGCACTTGGCATCCTTTAGCAGACTGTTTGCCATAAAAAAGATTCTGGGAAGAGCAGTAGTAAAACAGATGCAGTGCGGGGAAGACGTCCATCTTTTTAATGTTGGCTTAAAGTGTAAGCATCATGGTTAGGTACAAGGAATGCATATGCAAAATTTATTTTTTTGAGGCACTGGTGCAAGAATAGGGTGCAGTACAAATATCCTTTATATATACTTAATATATATCCTTTATGTGATACTAATACATTGAGGTTTACTTTTACACTTGAGGAAGGTTCAAATTGTATACCTAAATGCTTATTTGTCTTTAGGAAAGAGCTGACTGATGCACAGAGAGCAAACAAACCTTGCGGAAAGTGCCACTACTATCTTCTTATCAGCAAGACCTTTACAGAAGCCACAAAGGGCAATTCTAAGAGAAGAGAAGGGAGAAATCAGCAAAAGGAGGAATTAATGTTTGCAAATGCAGAGGAAGAATTCTTTTATGAGGTAACACACTTGATGCTGAGAATTCAGAATGTTTGCTTTTCTTTATAGCGTCACCAAAAAAAGATGTTTCAGCTTAACTTCAAGAGAATCTTTTAAATTAAATCTCAATAATATTGAGAGATGAGTAAGCAAACTATTTATTGATGACAACACTTTGTCTTTATAGAACCATTGAAAAGGTGCTCTCAGTAAGCATAAATTATTAAATCAATCCTCGGTTTTGGCATTAACTTACCGGTTTGCTATTTGTATAAGGTCACAATTAGCATGGCTGTACGAGTACTGTTGCCTAGGCTCTGCCTGTGGCAGCATTACTACCTGACAGGTTCCGCAGTGCTATGAGAATAATGGGACACTTCATAAGATACCTGAAATAGGCAGAGACTTCAGAGGAAAGATCAGATGTAATTTTCAGTGTGCCTTGGCCTCAAAGAATTAACAGACTTCATCTCTTTTGCTTGCCTATATAGCAGCGCTAAAGAGATTGAATTGAATGTAAAAGCTCTCTGTCTTATTGAATGAAATTTCTACGTTTTTAGGATGATGAATGATAAAAAGTCTGGGTATTTAGCAGCGTGTCCCAGCCCTTCTGAATGTTTCCTTATAAAGGTTTGTAATTCCTATTTAGTTTTCAGAAACAGAGCAACATGCATCTGTAATCTGAGTAGTAAGATGTGAAAGGCTTGTTACATACCTGTGTCAGTTGAATAGACAAGATTGACTGTAGGTATGTGAATTGCAGGTATTGCACATTAACTTAAATATCTTTCAGTAACTTTCAAGTTGACGCGATTTACATCACGAGTGGGGTTAAAGAGCAGCAGCTCAAACAATAGATAGTAGCTTGTAAGGGTGCTGTAACTTAATCACGTGCTGTTGCCTTAAGCACTTAGAAGAATAAGGATTCAAAAAATTGCAGAGGAATCTTTGTTTTTGGAGTCTTAATCAGAATCTGCAATGCATGTTAATACTTAAATGAACAAATCTCTTTTCCTTCCCCTTATGCACCTTGATTGTTGTCACAAAAACAGATGTGGAGGCTTCATTCAGAATTTGGTAATGCAGTTGAGTGTACTGCTCTGAGGATTCTTCCCCAGAAACTTAACAGATGCCGATGCAAAGCTCTACATCTGTGCTGTTGTTGGTGTTGTGTGGAGAACTGTCTTATCCATTTCATTTTTGAAATACCTGTTGTTTTCTAAAACTATTCGAACTAAATTCTCTGAAGATCCAGACAAGTAGATCTCACCCCCTCACTTTTTTTGTCTGTGTTCTACTCAGAAGAAGTGTGTCAATAAAAAGTGCTGAAACGCTGAGATGAAAATACTGCTTCTAATTTCCTAAGGGAACCTATCCACACAATTTAGCTGCAAGAGAGGGGAGGATGCAGGAAATTAAAAATGTAATTTGAAATGCATAGAATTTTTCAGTGTTCTTTATTTTTTCAAAGCTTTAAAAATATTCCGCAATATTATTGCTGTGTCAAAAGCCCATTATTTTTCATTTCTGGCAGTGCCTACAGGATAAAGTATTTGCACATGCATCATATGGTTAATGGCAAGGCTTCCCCTATGTAATCATTTGTGACATTCTTTGTTAGAGGCTATGATATGGCTATGATTTTTATTTCTTAGGAAGAAGAAAAATGTAAGTGGGCGCATTCATTTTTAGCTAAAGGGAATACTGCTTTAGCCTTTATTCAGTTTGAATAAAGGGATTTTATGATTTAATTTTTGAGTTTGGGATTTTCTTGTGTCTGTCACAGCAGCTTTAGCACCTGAATTTGAACTCTTTGTAAACATGTTATTGAAAAACTGGAGGAGAGAAGCTCTTGGTGACCCTGTGTCCATGGATATTACATTCTAGAAGACTTGTTTCATATTTACCTCTGTTTTGTTGTTTTGAATGGTGTTTTAAGGACTAATTCTGTGGTTTTTATCTAAATTGTAATAATTTTCAACTCAAGTGGATAGATTCAAACTGAACATGCTTTTCTTTTTAGCAGTCTTTCCAGCATTTTTAACAAACTCACTTTAAACATTATGGAGGATATTAGATTAAGTGAATCTCTATACTTAATAATGTATATGTGCTAAATAAACTAGTGCTGGAATGTATCTCCTTCCCTGATCACGCATAATGTTAATTAGAGTGCCATAAAATGGTATTAAATGCAGTGAGGCAGACACTTAAAGCCAAATGAAAGAGAAAGATGCCTTTTGCACTTGTCAGCTCACTGTGCTTTACTCCACTCCTTAAAATGTTATTGAGTGAGCAGAAGAAAAGCTCTATTATAACCAGACTTGGAATTGATTAAAGGTTTAAGGGCCTCCATTCCTCACATTGTTTGTTCTTGAACATAGCCACTCAGTTAATTTGATGGTTCTTCCAAAATTCAGTTTACAGCCTTGAGATACTGTTAGTAAGTAGCAAACCTACAGGGAGACTGGAACTTAACTTTCCTTGCAAAGGGAAGAGGTTAGGTTAGTTTTTCTACTTAGGAGTTCAGTTCGTACTTCTTAAATCGACTGGTGTGAGAACTAGAAACATCAGTTGCGAAAGTTTTTCCTACCCCCTAGGTATTTTGGCTTGGAGAGCTAGTAAAAGGGACTGTTCTAACTCTATGTAGTACATTTCACAGAAAAGATAAATAGTAAATGTTCTGGAAACCGACTCAGAGAAGCATCTTTTGTAAATTTGCCTTTCAATGGCTGCTGCCATTCAGAGCCTTTGTAAGGACTTTCTGAAATGCTGCTCAGGTTTCTCATTAGTGCACATCCCTTTGCTTTATCCAGAGTGCTAGTATTCAAAATTCCTACTGGCGATTTGAAAGAGGAAATTGCTACACAATCTTACAGATATGTTAATTTTTAGAACTCTGAGCTGTTTTAGAGTAGGTGACGAGAGCAGTAGAGCATACTCTGTCCTCTACAGGCCTTCCGTACAATACCCACACCAAAGTATCATCTTTATTGCAGGCCCTGTTCTATCTGCAGACTCTGGCTGTCCCTCTGGTCTAGGTTTAGGCTGATCTACTAATTCTCAGACTTAGAGCTAGTGATTTACTCTTGTTCAAGAGTCGAAGGTCTAGTAAGAATTTAATATTCTTATTTTTGTCCAAGGATCCCTGCTGATTGGCACAGTAGCTTCTAAGGGCCTGCATTTCTTACTGTGATAGCAGGAAATGAGATACTATTTTAAAAAATCTAAAACCACGTGTGGTAAGCAAGTAAAGGGAGCATTGATTTTTTTTTTTCCTTTGTTCTTTATTCTGATTTCTTGCAACTTTCATGATCATTTTAGAACGAATTATTTAAATTCTGTGAAAAGTAAATAGGTTAAAGAACTCAATTCTGTTTTAGATTGTTTTGAAAGGGAGAAAAGGTTTTATTTCGTAATATGCATGTGCATGATAGGATCATCATTTTTACTTTGTTAAGATGGTGTATTATCATCATGCTAATTAAAAAAAAAATTAATCCTAATGCATTTATTTCTGTTGCTTAGAGAGCTCTTCTGAAGTTCAACTATTCTGTGCAAGAGGAGAGTGACACCTGTTTGGGCGGCAGATGGTCCTTTGATGATGTACCAATGAAACCTTTGCGGACTGTTATGATCATTCCAGCTGATGGAATTAATGCAATTATGGATAAACTCAGAGACTATCTCTCACTCTAGACTTTCCTGTGAACACTGTTTCTTATAAAGCAGCCATGCAGAACTATGACTTCCCAGTAGTTTCCGAAGACTACTATTGAGTTTGCGATTTTGTACTGCTCAGATGTTTCCTCTGTACGCTTAGAAGAAAAGTAGGTAGTACAACTATCGTTACCAATCGAAGTAATATTTTAAAATATTATGTCAGTAAACATTCAATAAGAATCCAGTGTTACAAGGGAACCTCAAGAACTGCTCAATGTTTTTTAACAAAATCTACATTGTATGTTGTCATGTTAGCAAACAATTCACATAACTCTTCTTTTTAAGAAAAGTATTTTTTCTATGTGAATTTCTTCTCCTGTTAAATGCAGTTATGCCAAAAGTTGCAAATAATTACATGAGTTAAAATTAGGATGTATATTGCATATACGGTTTCTATTTGTGTTCATCCGATATATGATACTTGGATTTAAAAGTCATTGAATAATGCATCTTTGTTCAGTGGGACTTAGGGGATATTTTCCACATTCTTTCTTGTCACGGTTAGTTTTCTGTTCCTCCTTCATTGCTGAAACAGGTGACAAATGATTGATCACTTCCTGCAGAATATCCTTACTTTCACTAGGAGGAAGATTGCTAAAATAATACTGAGGTGCCAGCTCCACGAATCTGGTGAGGAAACAAAATGTTATTACATTACATTATTACAAAACATTATTATTTAATTGAATTTTGAAATGTTTATATAGCTATTTCCAGGCTTGCGCAAAAGAGAGCCAGCAACATGCTGAGGCGTACACCTACAAAGTTGATATTTAAACTCAAAAATGAAGCTCTCTGCAAGATGTAGGTGGTGGTTTGTGCTTTCAGTAGGCTTGCAATTAATGCCCTCAGACTATATTTCAGGTGATGGTAGTTCAGTTCTTAATATTAAACGTACATTAAATAGCGTTTTTTCTGGATTTGAATGTCTTTTTGTCTCAATAAAAGGGTGTATGAAAAGGGAATTCTTACAGCCATTGGAAATAGAATTGACAGGACAGATTTCCCAGTGAAATATATATTCACAGTGCAAAGAGATGTTGGCAGAAGGAAGACTGTAGTCTTCTTGAATCCATGAATAGTTGTGTGGGGCAACTTATCTGGTTGGGCACATGAAACATTGAGAAAAAGACTGGCTGGAAGATAGCTTTTCAGGGCACAAAGAACTTTTCAACTAGATGAATATATGGGCATGCTGCTCTTTTAACTCTTCCTTATTTTTTACTTTATAATATATGTTCCCTTGTAAGAAATTTTTGCTACTGGTAAGGTGTTTTTTAAATGGATAAATTGATACAATTGCAGTGACAGATGTTGAGACTGAGTACCTGAAAAGATCAGCATGCTTTAGGAGATACGAAAGGTTAACTTCAGTGATATCTCTGGTTTGCATTAAAAGACATAGTAATGGACCAAAGATGTACACAGTGACAGAACACTGCAGGCAACAAGAAAAAAACATATTCCACATCTATTCACTAGATTACTTTAAGTGTGCAAAACAACTCTTTATTTACCACTCCAGTAATGCCAGTTGTATCTCCCTGCTTGATTAGGTGTGAAGTTTTCCCACTGTGACCATTTTACTGATTCTCCTCCAGCACTCCCACCCAGCGTGAATTAGTTAGGCTCTCAACTATTCCTCAACAGAAGCAGAAGATAGCTACTTTTACCTTCTTTCCCTTTTCTCTGTCATAACAGGAGCTGACTTCTTCTCCAAGCATTGCTATTAATATAAGTACACACCCTTACTTTGTGACTTAAATTGTGTTTTTGTTGTGATAGAGGTATCACTGAAGAAAGATCTTCACCGTTGTTAACTTACAGATCAGGTGATATCTCGGAGACGACTCTGATGGAATTGTCTTCTGATATACTAAACTCATGGAATAGAACCCACTCAGGAATCCTTCTGGTGTTATAATACGATGAGAAAGGATGAAGCTGAGCTACTTGTCTGTGTGTTAGCATTAAGTAGTTTCCTGAGCCGTCTACATCTCGAGCGATCTAAAATAGGCAAAGAGTTATCCATTACTTAATTGAATATACAAGATGCATGGATCAGTTTTTGCCTATTAAATTAAAACTAAAAGTTAAACTTGTATCCATATACTTTCAGAGGGAGAGTCTAAACATCTCCCTAAATTTCTATGGGAAAGCTAGGGATTGGATACTATGAAATGGGGCTTACTGTCGAGGAAAACGTTTGTCTGTATATTTGAAAGGACACCAACTGGAACAAATGAGGGCAGGCTTACACACTAAATATTATTTGAGCCTTGGTGGTGGGTTTTGAAGAGCCACTTTAATAAAGTGTCTGTGTGTCAACTGCCATAGTCTTAGAGTTACAGGACTTCTTAAAATACATTGCATATATGAGTATGTGAAGCAGTATAATTTGTAGGGATCATTTTTGTAATCAGGTAGAGCATACTAGTCTAAAGGAAAGCATGCTTTCAAGGAAGAATAATCATTAGTCCGTCTTGTTTATCTTCACAAAGTACGTAGGGTACCTCATTTGGTTGAGATGAAGAAAGCTGCATACCTAAACATATTCAACAGGTCAGATTTCTATTTTCAGAGTATTTTTCACATAAACATCTTCAAAGAGCTCATAAAATAATGCCTGAGAGAATAGTGTAAGTTAAAGAGTTTTCTTGAGTTAAAAGAGTTATTTTGATTGAAAGGCATATCGACAAGTTTTCCTCTTCCAGTGAAGCGTGGACTTCATGCTGCGATAGCTGAACCCCAGAGAGAAGACCAGAATTGGCAGAAGTGTTTGATGTACTGTGGAAAGTATCTTTTATCTTTTGTGATGATCAAAAGATTTCATCACTTTGCTTAAGTTCTCTGAAAGTGTTCTCTGTAAGTTAACAATGCACTAAGATAAAACAACAGTAATTTCCCTTACGTGCATAAAGTAACCAGATACGAGAGATTTCTTTATGCTTAGTATATTTTCTTTTGATCCAAAGTCTGGTTCTGAAATGGGAAGCTCAATGCGCTTCATAATCTCTACCAGTTCACCTCTAATAGTTTCTGCCATCCTCAGCGCAGAACAGCTTAGAAAATAATCACGACACCATTTCTCATTACTGTAGTCTGTGGAGGGAAAAAACAGAATTTTGGCTTAAAGTACAGTCATACTGATAGGTACTATTCACAGAGATACAGCCCTATAAAATGTTGTTTGGCTGGTACAATAGATTAAAATCATTTTGGAGGGAGTAGCTGTATCGGAGCTGTCCAAATTCTGATAGCAAGAGTCATATGGACAACTTAGGCTTACTGATGTTGCTTGTAAAGTGAACATTTGTGGGCAAAACTATATCCTTATTTGATTTTAATGAATATTGTTTTATTCAGAAAGATATAGTTAAAATTCTAAAACCCTTTACTAGATCTGTAAAAAGTAGTAGCTTCAAATACAATGACTAGCAACTCTATTTTCTGACTTTCTGTGTCCAGGCCAAGATCCTGTTGTGACAGTGATCCTGTCTCTGATATTCATTTGTCTACTGGGTTGTGCTACATCGGAGAAATCCATCGATATGCAAAGTCTTTGTTTAGGAAACTCTGACTAGCGCTGTCAGAGTGTGTGCTAATCTTTACGTACAAACTACTGCAAGAGCAGTAAACCTGTCTTTCTTGAGGCTCTGAATGAAAAGTTAAATCAAGGTCTAACTTGTGTCCAAAACGTTACATGGCCTGAATCCTGAACGTCCTGACCCATCTTTAAATGGTAGGATGAAGTGGTAACTGACAATTTTGGCCTACTGGTATTACAGAATGCATTGTAACAAAAGTAAAGCTTGTATCTTCAGCAAATGAACTTTACTGAGAGCTGATCGTAGGTCGTTGAGCAATTTCTTCAGGACCTGAAAACCATTTAAAAGAAATCTAGAGCTTTCCATGTCTATTTTTTGAAGCTGCTATTGCAAAGAGCATTCTTCCAGTCCATACCACACTTCTGTGAATACTCCCAGATCTCTTTGTCCGCTTGTTGAAATATTCAAACGAGTGCCTTATTGCTTTCTCCTATTCCAGCTTTCACTTGACTTTCTGTAAATTTTGTGAAAGTTGCTTCCTATCTTCCAAATTCTTCCCTAAAACTTTCCTCTTACTCTGAAACCTGTCAAAGAAAGAGTAACACTTGTATGGCTTGTGTGGCTGCTGGGTAATCAAATGCCTCCACAACTGTGATCTGTGTGGGCTATTACAGGAGGAAACATATTTCTGTTTTTGTTCAATGTCACTTCAAATGACAACTGTAATAGTGTTTATGTGTTGCTGTTGGATGAAGCAGGCTGTCCCAGGTCACTTACTGTTAGTTTAGAAAGTGACATTGTAAAGTCTATTTGCAGTGGCTACTCTCTTAGGTTTCTCTTCTTCTCTGATAATTAGCGATTCTAGAAAGAATCATTCACAAAGAGTTTATGAACCAAATATCAACAGAGTGCTCCTTTTTAAAAAAAAATTGTAACCAGCATGCTTTTATTTTGTCTGATATGTTTATACTCACATTGGCTTGTGGAGTTTCCATTGGCTTCCTTGAAAGCATTGAAGACATTGATAAGAGTAAAGTGATCTCCTGCAGGGTGTGAAAATTTTCGCCAGCAAGTAAGAGCAATCTCTTCTGTTCCAGGAGGTGCGCGTGAGAAGCAATTGGGAGCTTAGGGAAGAATCAAGCCAGTAGTTATTAAGACACTTAATTGCATGACACAAACAAGGCACTGTGGTCAGTAACTCCACCAGACTTTTTTTTCTCTCTTAGTCCCTTTTAATCTTCAATACTAGATCAATGCTGAAAAACTCGATCTATTGTATTCACCAAGCTTTTTATTAAAATGGATGTTCCTTCCATCTTGTATTTTACTTAATTTATGCTGTAAGCATGAAAGAAGGTGGGTAGCTTTCTTCTAGACGGATGCCAAAGGTGCTTCACAGTGGCATGACATTTATCCAAAATCCAAGCATACAGTTTCTTTAACATAGAAAAAAACCTGACTTTATGGATGCCTGAATTTTATCTATGTTGAAGTTTGTGCCTTCTAGTATGTTTTACTTTTGTTGTAGTACCGTGCTACATAATTGTGTCTTTTGAGACATTTGAGCTTTTTAAAACCTGAAATGTATCTTTGCTGAATCCTTTATATTTGTTTTATGGCCTTATCCACTTATTAAAAGTAAAACCAGTTTAGACATAAAAACAGGTTGTTCTGTAAGCAGAAGAACTAATGAAGCTTAGTTTCCTGGGGATTCTTGTCCTTGCAGCCTAAGACCCCTCCCCAGTTTCTGGGGCAGAATATAGCAAAGCAGTGTTTTTTACAGGTGTGGTTAGAGCTGTAGGTAGGTCTCAAGTATTGGTTCTGTGTTAGGATTATGTCATGAAAGCAGTAGCAAGTAGTACTATAAGCATAGGAGGCTGCTGTGGAAAGAGGAGCAAGACAGCCAAATGTTACTGAAGCCAATGTTACTAGGTAAAACCAAGACTCAACAAAATCCCAGTGTAGACCTGTCCTATGTTATCTGGTGGGATCTTGGGAAGTCCTTTTCATCATTTGCTATTTGACCTTTTCCTGGAATCACCTTTCTCTCAGTTACGTTAGAATCTTTGATTTTGTGCCTCTGACATATTAAGACTTCAATAGCAGCTTTATATTTTAGAAACTGCAGCATACTGTCTAAGAGAATCAATGGGCTTTAAATATCTGCGTTTTTATGTGTTGACTTGAAAGTTGTGTCAGGTCAAATGAAAGAAATTCTGTAGTTGACGACCTTTAATATAAATGTTCTGTCTCCACATGCCACATGCTCAAGGCTTGTGGCCAGCTGCTTTGTGTCACATTGCCATGTAGGAGCAGAGTAATCAGTCAGGACAGGATGGTATAAACACTTATGGTTATGTTAATTTTTTTAATTATTGTATTCAAGGTGGAGAAATAAGATCACAAAGTAATTCTTTGCAGGTCAACAGTTCAATATTGTTTATAGTTAGAACTTCCCACTGATTTCCTGCTCTCGTCTGTAACAAATGTGCGTGAATATAATGAGATAAGTGTTCATTTTAAAGAGACGTTCTGGGTATGCTTTTTGACAAAAGGTAAGCTAATGCGATACCTGAAGCATAGAACTGGAGCACAGGCAATGCTATTTATGAACTTGAGTGAAGTTGCACATTACTTGTGTTTCATTGCATATTCAAAGTCAAGACTTAAACAGCGAAAGATATTTATTTTCTTTAGGTAAACAGAACTTGAACTCAACAAAAGTTTGGCTTTGGATTGCCCTCATGAGTAGACTTTGAAAGGGTCTATGTGGATTTGGGCAGGTAGCACAAACAAGCACTACAACATTATTTAGGAGTACCTGTTAGCATGGCTGCAATGGTGAGCATTTCATCCACACATTCATATTCACATGAAGCCAAAATTGACTTTGACAATTGTGGATCTAGAGGAAATTCTGACATGATAATTCCAAATTCTGAAAGGTTTCCATCATTATCCAGGGCTGCTAGATAATCAAGATCTTCCAAAGCCTGCATCAGACTCTCAGGAGCTAATAAAAAAGAAAGATAATTCAGAAGTCTTAAAAATAGTTCCATATAAGTGAATGTCTGAATTCTCATTATAGTATTTCAGTTTTATATTTCCTGTGTAAAAGCGACTGAAATCGGCTACTTGGGGACGGGCAAAAAGAAGTAACAAATGGGTTGGACCATAGGGTGAGAACATTCTGGAGGAAAGAGGAGGAAGAAAATAAGATGTTACAATAATAGGTCTACAAATAATTTTGTTGATCTTTTTCCTTTTCTGTTAGAGCAGTTTTGTCAGAAGTCAAGTCATGGTGAATGCTGAATAGTATATTACACAGTGCCTATGTCCAGAACTCCTTCTGTCATCTTCTCCTCTAAAAGAATAGAGCACTACTGGCAGCCTTCAAGCACCAATATTTCGTCTGGGTTCACGTGCTTTCATTTTAATGAGAAGTTAACACAAGCATTTACACAAGTTCCAGCTCCCTTATGATTTTGTGTGTCCTACAATTGCAGGTATTTGGAGTTCTTTTGTTTTTTTTTTTTTTTTTTTAACAGTTTCTCATTATGTCAGAAATAAGTGGGAACCTAGTAAAAGAAAATGTTTCCCTAGCAAATGGCTGTACTTTCTGTTTACACTAAATGAAATGCACAGTTTGCCCTTATTTCAGGCTAGACTTTCCTTTTACTATTATTTACTATTTTTCCTGCTGATAGCAGATGCCAGAAGAATGCAAGGAGTTACTCTGATACCATTTTTATACCAATTTTTCAAAATCTGAAAAAAAATTAAGTGACTTCTTGGCAGCACTTTGTTCTGCTGAAAAAATCATGTAATAAATTCAAACTCTCAGATGTTACAGATGATATGACAACATGTCTGAAAGGAGATGATTAAACAAATCAGTAATTAAAATGAGAACTTGAGGAGGTTTATAGAAAATCTGCTATTGATGAAAGTAGTTCCCTTAGGCGGAACAGGCATAGAAGAGCTTTATGTGCGGCCATGGTGGTTATAGTTGCAGGACTAGAGAGGGTGAGGCTGAAAGCTGAGCAGAAGCAGCCAAGCCTGCAGTCTCTGAAAAGTAGCTGCTGGAGCATCAAAGACACTGGTGGAAATTTGGGAACTCTTGCAGTGTGAAGATCCTTTCTTCCCAACTGATTTCTAATCCAGCTGCTACTGATGGGTAGTCATTGTCAGTATTTTGTTATGACTGCCAGTTCATTTAAATTCATAACTGCCCTCCTGTCACTACAGCAACTTTCTTCTTATTCCAGTTGAAGAGTCTTAATATTTTCCCTTTGTGTTTTGTGGATAACAAGTTAAATTCTAGTCCCATTGAAGCTGGTGGCAAAAATTCCATTACAACAGGATTTGGCCCTCTTCCCCCATCAAATGTGGCCAGCTTTGAGAAACTAATGACTGCACTGGCAATTTTTCAGACTTCTGTGGGCTGCTCTCGGTTTGCACACTAACATTCACAAACCTGTAAATCAAGGGGGAAAAATGCCCACTGTATATTTGCACCTGTATGTTCATTAATAAATGGCTAGAAAATATTTGTTGCTTGAAAATATTAGTAATGGAAACCTCTCATTGGTAGGCTTCTTCCTCATCGTGAAGACTGAAAGCAAAGAAAGCCGGTAAGAAGTTAGCAGGTTACATTTAGCCAGAAGGCCATGCGTCACGCACCCTGCCTTCTTGCAAAAAGTTCATGAGTTAGGGTTTTTTCTTCATTGGTGGCCTGTATTGTTTGTTTAGTGCCATCACTCAGCTCTGTAATTAACAGCCTATAATGAATTAAAGAACACCTGTTATTTTTAACTTTTTCCATTACTGGTATCTGAAGGAAAAAAATATTTTACTAATTCCCCTTACGTGAGCTTTTACAGAAATTCTCCGATGTGTAAATCTGACACAGTGTTGTGACAGATTGTGAAAACATTGTGAAATGTTTTTCAGTATTTAATTGAAAAACATTTAGTATTCATTTTCATTAAAATCCTCTCAAGACTATATACATTTCTGTAAAAAACTGTGGACCTATTTTGTTTTAGTATTAGAATTCACATACCTGCCTGTACAACATGAAGGATTTCTGTCTAGGTAGAACAGTTATTATCAAGCGTCCGAGATTTAATGTGATAAAAGGTAAGCTCTTGCAAAAGCCAAAGCATCTGAGAAGAAAGTATGTCGGACATTTAAAGAAATGAAAAGTAACAGCTGGTGAAGAATACAAGTCAGCGACAGGAAATGGGTATCAGTGATTAAAAATACAAGGAGAGTAAAATGGTCATTCAGACATTCAGTAATTACTAGCAAATCATGGAAAACTACTTTCCAGAAGTCAACAAAAGTAGTTTTGTGTTCTAAGTTACAAAATATATGGTTATATGGCAGCTGATTTCAATCCCCAGATAGCATCAGTGATTTGCATTTTTATGCCCTAGATTTAGTTGCCTTGAGCTTTAGAAGTGCAAATTGGTTCCTGATTTTGCTAGGAGTGTTACCAAAACAAATAGGTTTTGTTGTGTTAGAAAGGACAAGATAGTAAAGGTAGATTAAGCAGGTGAAGGAACAGTAATAAAATGAAAAATAGAATAGGGTTTTCAGATATTAGTCTGCATTTTGAGGCACAAACTCGATCGATAAAAAGCCACTGTAAAAATGGCAGACGTTTGGGAATTCTTTATGGCATTGTTCCTATTTAAATAAAACCTATCATAAATAAGACAGAAGTAGTATAAATGTTTAAATTCAGAAAGCTATCTTTTAAAGAATAGGGACTTGCACTGACGTTGTTTTTTAACAAGCAACTGTCGTTATTTTCAGGGCTGCTTGCCAACGCCAACTACTGCTCCCATCAAGGCAAACTGCAAAGCTTTGTGACTCAACTGCTGCTTTCACAGAAGCAAAGTTAGAAAGAAGTTCTCAAGATATGTTCCATGCTTTCAACAAGAAATCTTGCCAATACTTCCCTGGAAGTTTGAAAGGTATTTCCTTATCTGATATTTCCTTTCCATTGCCTGTGTTCTTTGGCTTCTTAATTGCTCTGGACTTCTCTGAAGGAAATCTTGCCAGTGTTATTTACATACAGATCCTATTCCTGATGGTTTGTGGCCTCTCTAAAGGAACTATGTAACTAAGTATTATTCTTAGCGCTTAAATCATTTATCTGAGGATTTCAAGGCAACTTCCAAGACGATATTCTTAACTTTACAGTTTTTTTTCAACTTGCACCAGACTAAGTTATGTTCCTAAAGATACCTGTGCCCTTAATCTCTGCAGTATCTCTCCCCAATGACTGATGTTGTAAACCTTACTGTGGGATAAAATAAATACATAAAGTGTTGTTCCTGTTTCATAAGCAAGAAATGGTTTAGTGATTTACCCAACATTGTAATAAATGAATATTAGAGATAGGAATGAAATGTAAGTTTCATGATTATTAACAGTCTATTTAACTGCCAGATCATGCTTACCTGGAGAATATAGCTTGACAGGTCCTGTGTTAAGACTGTGTTCTGTTCTCTTACGCTGTGAACATTTTGAAATGTGTATAAAATACCTGTTTCTCAATAGACCTTTTCTTTCGGCAGAAATAACCATTATGAAGTTAGAGCTGACATGAACGTTAGGTGGAGGGACGTTGTCTTGAAAGAGCTGATTCCCTGCCTGGCAAATCACAAGTTTTTCCAGTTTCTGTTAGGCTTAGCAGCATGAAGAACTGCTAAAGTCATTACTGCAGGGAGACTAATTCTAGAGTATGGTGTTTTCTGTTGTCATTGCTTTTTAACATTACTTCTTGGGTAAGGAACTGAAGATAATGGGGAAATCTAGTACCAGGTTTTCTTCAAATTGTGCAAAGATTTTTCTCGTAGTCCCTTTTGTCTCTTAGGATCAGCTTCGGTCTGCAAGCTTTATCTCGATTCTCTTTTTTTTTCATTCCTCCCCTGTAACTCTGAGGTATGATTTTTTGTTATGAGTGTACCATGCTCTGATGCTACCAATCTTATAATTATTACACTCTTGCTTTGCAGTCTTGCCATTACCCCTTATGCCGCTTCTTCATCCCTCCAAGCTGGCTAGTAATAGTCCCTATTACGCTCTTCTGCCAACAGGGACTGGCAGCACAGCAGCTGACCAGTGTTTCCTAATGAAAATATGCAGCGTTATGGTCACACACCAGGGGCAGCACTGACTATTTAATGAAATCAGTTTCCTATCTGCTTTGAGTCATGCTCAAAGCAGGTAAGATGACTGTGCAAATACATAGTACATCTAAGAAGAGTGTCTAATTTAAAGAATATTACATGATGGTGTAAAAATATTTATCACTTTGGTTCCTTTTGTTACTGTCCGGTAAATAACATAAGAGTAGTCCGGCTTTAACAGTGTTGGGGCACACCTTCCCATTTGTGGGATGCCTTTTGTGGGACAGTTATAGCAGCTCCCTCCTGTAAGCAATTGGCTCCATGAGACACGGTATGTGCTGGGCTGCACACGCTGCCCGGGCACCCATTGCTGGAGCCTCTTGACCCATGGGTACAGCCAGAGCTTAAGAGCTGCAAAGTGTCAGGTGTGCACTCTTGCCCAGTCTTTGTTCTGCTGTGTTTCTGTCTGTTGTTTGGTCCTTACCTCCTCCTATTCCTGTACACTTCTCCACTGAGTTATGTAGTATTGAATATGAAATGAGCGGGCACTTCTATGTTACCTATCAGAAAGCTTTTCATTATGAGATATATAATGCTATTTAATTGAATTAAAAAATTAAAACATTAACATTAAGATAATGAATCTGCCTTAAAAACATCTCTGTTGAGCAGGCTTTATATGGGAGTTTGTCTTTCAAGAGTTTGCTTCTAATAAAAAAACATGCAAACAAACTTTGTCTCTGAAACAGTCTGAAGTGATATTGTGGATTCTAGAAATACATTCCCAATGTACAGGGAGTTATAATAGTATAGCTCTGAAATGTCATGACATCCATGACCACAAACAAAGATTTTAATCTGAAATTAGTTTGTGATAGTTCTGCATGAGTGCAGAATCTGCAAACTGCTTTCACCTTGACTATTTTCTTATGTAAATTTTATATAGTTTAGTTTTTATACTGATTTGCATAGTTTAAATAAGGATTTTCCAGTGATTTACAAAATGATACATGATGTTGCTGCAATTTATGAGAAAGGAGTTCTTTTATCCCATTATATAACACAATAAAGATCTAGTTGATTGACTGATAAAAATGTAGAGACCTTACTATTATAATGGCACAGGAATTCAAATAATTCTCTTCAGAAGCACAGTGCCAAATCCATTTTCATATGGCTCATGAATTCTAAAAAGGGTAACGAGTCTGCTGCATTTGCTCGTTTTGATTATAGCATGAATTAAATGCAGCAGCTGTAAGCCTGACATGTTTGTTGCTTTCGTAATGCAGTAATGAGTCAGAGTTAATCCATGCTTTTATTTTTCCTCAAAGAACAGCAGAAAAAAACTTGTGCATATTGTTGCTGAACAGAAATAAAATGCTTTAGTGATGGGATTTCTGTTCCTTATCTGCTATATGTTCTTTACTGTCATGTATAGGAAATGGACTGTGAAGTACTTCTCTGAATTCTTGCTATATTATGTACCTTGCTTTCTCTTTTATGAATTTCAGTGTACTTTTGATTTTTCTGTTCACCAGTTCATGTCCATACACTGCTCTGACGCCTCAGTGAAAATATTATTTTGTTTAGGAGAAATTCACCTTCAATTTAAAAACAAACAAACAAACAGAAGAACATACCTCCATCTGTTTTGATTGCAAGGAAGACTTCAGAATGCTAACTGAACAGAATGATTCATAGCAAAGCCTGTGGCATTTTGTTTTGGTGTGAGTGGCATATGGGAGATGCTGTTATGTACGTGTTCCCTTTAGTCAAAGGGAAATCAGGTCCAAGGAGCTGAAGAGTTATGGAACAGTCAAGTCTAGGACAAGCTATGCTGAGGAGAAATGTAGCTGCAAGGCTGATTATGTTTTTAGTATCTGTATGTTCTGAACAGCAACTTATTTGCGCAAGTCAAATGAGTAGAACACACAGAAGTACTACCGTGTATTTTTTTTTCCAGTTGAATTTATACCGCTTTTGACTGAGGATGTACAACATGGCTTTGTGTTCCCTGGCAGTAAATAAGAATTTTCTCCCCAGGAGTTTCCTTAGGGTCAGAGAAACCTCATTACTCATTTCACGAGCTTGCTGTTCATCTTTTTTACTTAGGCCTATGCACCATCTTGGAAATCCCTCCTCCTCTTCCTTAAACTCCCTCCTCACTTTAGTTACATAAACTTTCTGTAATCTGAACAGACTGCAGCAAAGATAACGTAGCCTTCTAGGGAGGCTAACGTCCCTTGCATAAGAGAGGCCTCGATGCTTTTCATTTCTGATAGCTCTTCTCTTTGCCTCCCCTGCAACACTCCTCTGTAGTATAAAATCCAGGAAGGTTTTGGCCTTGCATCGTTTTGGCCTTACGGCTATTGATGAATAAGTTATCCCTTTCGACTGGGTATCAGCAGTATTTGGAGCTGGGCAGCAAGGGTGACGTGACTGTAAAGTCCCTGCCTGGTTCTGCTGGAGGTGACCACTGCTAACTGCATGGAATTGAGTGTATGCAGCAAGTCAGGTCTATCTCAGTAGAGTATAAGAAAATGTGGACTTTCCAGGTCAAGATCATTGATCAGAAGGTCAGCAGGGGGGATACAGGGTCAGAAGAAGGTTTATGTGCTTGAACACTTGGCAAGTGTTTTGTGTTCTGTCATCTGGTCTAGTAAAATAACTAACTCCCTTTGTAACTGTGCTCACTGCAGTAACCCTATTTCTGTCAGACAAGTATTTTATGCCAGCTATTTCAAACTGTCTATATTCAGATAGTTTGAACATTATAGTCATCTCTGGAGAATTGTAGTAGGGATATTTTTTTAGTTGGAAAGAGGTTGGTTGCCCACTTAGGAGTGGGAATAAGAAAGCCACAGGGCAACACTTCTGTGTGATCTATCCTAGGGTAAACTGGAAAAGCTGTACTAGACAATTAAAGCAATATTTCAAATGTTTAATTATGTAGGGCCTTAGCACAGGAAAGTGGCCAGGAAATTCTACAGACCTCCTCATCTTTCAGTTAACTCCCTCAGTGTTTGGGGTTTTTTTTTTTTTATTTCAAATAATTTGTCTAACATTTGTCACACTCTTCCAATAATGCCTCAAACCTTTCAATACCTTGAACTTGTCCTCTAGTTAGCAGTAACTTTTTCATATTTGATGCCAGTCCAAGTAAAACTGATGCATTCATCAGATGCTTTAAAGTTTTGTACACATCAGCAATATACCTTCTTCAGCTGCATTATTTCAAAAATACAGGCAAAACTTAAATTCCTACATCTGTGAAATCCTTAAATGCTTCTAGCACTTCATCCTGAATACCATTGTGCCTTTAAATCCAAAAATAATGAATGCTTTTCCTAAAGTAACTTTACTAATTCATTCTACTACTCAAGAACAACTTTCTTCATATCCGCTAAAAACATTAATATATGTTAGTTTTTTTTTTTTTTTTTTTTTTTTTTAAGTAAAACACTTTCTAGTTTTGAATAGAGGCCAACTATAGTCCATAACCATTTTCTGTGAAGGTTTCCTGGAGTCAGGCCTCGAGGTGACACTTAAAAGTCAGGCCAAAATGCCCCCCGATCCTCATCTATCTTGCATTAGCTACCAGTCAGATTGGCAATGTTTTTTCACGCTTCTACTAGATATGTTTCTGCTTGGCAGCCACACAGGGGCAAAGTAAATAGAATAAATTCCACTTAAAAATTACACTTAGATTCTATCACAGCACCCAACAGTGGAAATTAAACTCTCTGCTACTGATTAATTATGATGAGCAACATGATGAGGACAAGTGATTGTTCTAATTTTGTGTGTATGTATGAGGAAAGGGGGAACAACATAAGAAT